GTGAATTTAGAGGCACATATTGCCGGTTCCAGGGAAGCGCAAGTCCTTGAACTACATTGTCCATGAAATATCCTTACCACCGAAAGTGTTTCGATCTTCATCCTAAGAACATCCATGAATTCTACTTGCTCCAACTTCAACCCGTATACTACCACCGAACTTGACTCTCCTGTAACACTGTTCACATAGCTAGCGATTTGCATGAGCTCGTGATTAGATTCCAGACTTTGACCTTCATGTTTCGGAGCGATCCAGTCGACTGATGAGAAGGCGTTCAATCTATCCTTTGCCCCCGATACGTGTTTTACTATCCAATTCGATTGTTCACTGGTGATCTGTGTTAATAGACGCTGATTATAAGAGAATAATTGCCTCGACTCTCACCTGTATGAATTTCCGATCTTTTGCAGGGCCGCTTTTATGTTTTCACTTCGAGTCTGATGCCTTTCTAGCACGTCCTGTAGGTCAAGCCTTAGTGTATCTCCGCTGATGATGATTGTCATCATTACCGGTAGAATCTTACTATGCCAATCTAATACCTTGCGCGCTATCGGCTGCTGCAAGTGAACACTCTGTCGGTACTTCCTATCTAAGGCCGAGTTAGAGCTTCATCGAGTATTTATGTCAGCGTACCAGATTCAGGTAGTATAAATCCAGCTATCTCCCCTCGACTCCACCCCCTAATAGTAGTGAAATTATCTTTGTCTCCGCCTTTGCTTTTTGGAGCCTCATTATTCAGCCATTCGTGCAACACCGCGACCGAATCTCTTGAACTTGCTATCTCTTTGCACTCCTTGACCCGTTCGCTGGCGTCGATCAGCTTTTGATACTCCCCTAGCATCGATCCTCCCTGTTCTCCGAGTAAAAACGGGTAAGGTATAAGAGTACTTGAAACTATCCCACCTCTTCAAGCTTATCTGGTGAGTCGCCAGTAGGAATCTCGTCCAAGATAGCCTTAATAGATTCACAAGTTGTGTCGCGCGTGGTTATCTCTGATATTCCTTTCAGTTGTCTTACACGACAGGAAGCAGTTTTGTGTACCGTTTTTGAAAAAGGCGAGTATTGGGAAGACCAGAGGGTAGATGGCGGAATCCTCCCAATTGGGATTGAAAGTGTCGCATAGTGCAGCCAGATCTCGATTACTGTGTCGTCACTGAGCATTTAATACATAAGAATAGTAAATCCACATACTATTTCTCATCTAAATCGACCCTGCTCCGCTCATCAGTCCACATCCAATTGATACGAGTGTGCAGTCTTACCGTCGCTTCAACAGTTGAATGAATTCGTCCATAAATTGATGTTCATCTACTACCGTCTTCAGTACACCTCCAGGAACTTGACCTTCGAATGGGTTCATTGTAGCTAGATGAACGGTAAGGAGTCAAGATGGAGGAGAGTGGCATTTTGCCTCATGGCTACCGCAACCCTTCAATTCAATTCGAATACCCGACATACAACCACTCACGAGAAAGTGCCCTGAAGACGGGTCCTATAGACCTTCAATGACGGGAGCCTTTCGATCGGATCGGGGGTAGCCCATGGGTGATATAATTCATGGCTTTTGCGTCCTGAGAGGCGGGAGTATAGCCCTATGAGGTCGAATCTGCACCAAATTGGCCGCCTCCTAAGCCATTTGTTGGGCTGTGTCGTCGTTGGAATACGTCGTCCCCATTGAATGGAGCTGTTTTTTTATATCTGAACTTGTTTACTACATGGAATGAATGTTGTTTTTATCATGGTGAACTGAGTTTGTATTGGAACGAGAGGCTATGAGGTGGACGGGTCCGAGTTTGATTTGTCTGCTTGCAGCGTCTATGGCACGACCTTAGTGCTGCCCCCCGGTCACTAAGTATTAACCTCGAAGCATTGCAATCTTATTTCAACGAGAGAGTTCTTATATACTCAAATTTATCTACCATGCGCGCGCCCTATCGTTATTTGATCTAACAGCGTTAGCACTGTGGGACAGATTGGCCCTGAGCCGTTCGAGGTGACGTGCTTCAAAGTATCGCGCGATAGAATCTCATTTGCGGAGGCTAGCCGTAAGAGCCACTGAGTAAACAGGGGGGCCCACGGGTACTAGGTCATTCTACGATTCGATCGAATGCACTCAGTGGTCGAGTTGATTGCGTTGACCAAACTGAGCCGTTCGACGATGCCGCGACGAGGACGTTTGTCTGGTAGACTCAGCGTTCGGTAGTAAGGATATTTCATGGACAATGTAGTTCAAGGACTTGCGCTTCCCTGGAACCGGCAATATGTGCCTCTAAATTCAC